CAGCAGCCCACAGCCATTACATATTTATTGCCTTTTTACTCTATCAAAAATGTTAGTAATCACCCTTAATTAGATATCATTTGAAAGCTTAAAACCTCAAAATTCATCCTGTGAAAACCATTTTGAAGTTGCGTTACCATGGAAATGGTACTTTAAAGTCTTTTGGCGGTCCCTTCCCCCTAAGTGGGCGGTGTCAAGTGTCATATTACAATTTATTACGGTATTTTCCAACCTAAACTTTTTATAATCTTGACAAAACACATATGGTTGGAAAGGTCCGAGTCTCAAGATTCCAAATTTGCTGGTTATTTTGTGATATTAGTAATATGGAGTTTGTGTCTCACCCGGTGGCTGTTTGTGGTATAACGCCCAAAATAAAATCTCACAGGAACCTCATTTTTTTTTTATATCAACTTCAAATTTGGAACATAACTTATATAGACACAAGGCTTTAATTTTATAGCATTTTTAGAGGAAAACCTGTTATGAAAAATATTTTTTATATAAAATAAGAAAAACTGTACAGTGCATTTTCTTTTCAGTAAATTTAAACATAACTTTTTGATACTGTCATATTTTGAAACAATTCCACTTCTACAATAAAATGCTGATCGTCTTCTTTAAAAAGAGTTCAACCTTAGGTATGTATTGCAAAGCGTTCATTAATTATAACAATTTAAAGCTGCAGTCCGTAAGTTTTGCCTCTTTGTCGCCATCTCTGTTTGAAAACCTGGAATTGCAGCTGTGTGCGGAATTATCTTCATTATGTGGGTTGTGCTCCGGCACGGCTCCAGCGCGGATGAATCTAATGTTTTGAGGAGTGTGTGTGGCAGTCAGTCACCGCACCGGTGTGAATCCTATACTTAGTAACCACAGATTCTAGCACGGCTCGGAATATATGACCCAAATAAGAATTTTCACCGGATATTGTCATCTGAACAAGTCTGCAACGTTTGTTCTGACCAACTGAGGAAAAATCGTGCTGCCAATGGTGATTTAATCTAACGATCAATTAGATCACATCAAACCGTGCAAAATATTATTATTGTTATACTTTATTCTCAGATTATTAATGTTAACAACATCATATTATTATTGTTATACTTTATTCTCAAATGATTAATGTTAACAACATCAGCATTGGTGACTATGAGTATAGTGTGTATTAGCGTGTAGATTTAAATTTCTGCACAGTCTAATCTAATCGTCATACTCTTCGAATTTCATACCAAGAAATTCATTTAACCCAAAAAGCTAACTATGCTCCCTTCGAACTGGTTTTCTTTCAAATACAAATCTTTGTAATCCCAGGCTATCTGTAATCAGAAGCACATTTATAACTGGAATATCATTTCATTTCATTCACATGTGTTTCATAAACACATAATCCTTTATGGATTACAATCCGCCATCAAAATGATACATTTAAAGTCCACCTGTAGTCAAAAATGTTATCCTTCAAAACTCATCTTTGATCATCAAAATTACATATTTAAATGTTTTTTCTTGTGAAAATAATTTTCTCATGCCTTAAAATAGCTTGAATGCAACTTTACACCCTTGCCTCATTTACTATACGCGGATCTATGAATACGCAAATTAGCCCCGCCTCCACTCAGTCACACACAAGGCAGCCATGAGCCAGCGCCTCCTGATCCACTGAACTGTAGTAAACGCGATACAATGGCAA